TTAGGGGAGAGGGTGTATTTCAGCACACACAGCAACTTAGTGACAGACAAATGCAAAGAAGAGCCACATGCAGTGTTTTGTTAGTTCTGTTGGTTTGGTCAATTAGAACAATGACAGTATAAAATATAACAAAACACACGCACACACACACACACACACATGCACACACATACACGCACACACTCATGCACAAATGGGAGTTTTTGAAAATCTGCCTTTTGGAACCTGAAATCATCAGCCGTGTTGTGTGTGATGTACCCAAACACATTCCTCCTCCTCCTCTGGTGTGGCATTTATTTTACCTCATATAGAAAGACATTTTCAAAATAGACTACAAGCCAGATATTTTGAAGGTTTGCTTACATTCAAGGTTTTATGCAAATGCCAAGTTCACCACCCACTGTCCTAACAGAGCCCATGCTATGCACTCACCAGAAAGGCCCTCTGACCTGGAGGACAGACTATTTACTTGGATTTGGGCGGGTAAAGCAGTGATGTGGTTGGTTTTAAACTGAAGCAACAGAGTTGATATGGGGGGGGGATTGAGAAGACAGAGAGCACATCCAAATCAGGACCCAAGGCTAGAGCAGAAACAGAAGCCACCCGCAGAAAGCCCATTCAGGCAGCAACCCGCTACAAATTAGAGAGTGTTTTAATTAGTTTTCTCTTACTGTAACAAAAGGCTCATGAACCACAACAAGATGTTACTCAGGTTTTGCAAGAGGCTGCTACCACGGCATAGGCAAGGCCTCTGTTGGTATCCTACTAGAAAGAGATCAGTATTTTGGCACCAGCTTCACTGGGCAAAAGTGATGTTTTTCCCTCATCTTTCTCCTTTTTTTTTTCTTTAATTGGTTTTATTTTTTAAATACATGACAGCGGAATGCATCACAATTCTTATTACACATGTAGAACAATTTTTCATACCTCTGTTTCCCTCATCTTTCTGCCTATTTTAGAGGGTGGTACTGCAGACTTTGTATGAGAGATGTGCGGTGTTCTCTTTAACGTTACTTAGGTACCTGGAGCAGTAGATATAGCCAGGTACTAATTTGCTCAGAAAGCAAGCTCATCTCTGTCATTTCAAAAAAGATGGTCACTGGGTAGGGTGACCGTTGGGACAAGTGACGATGCAGAAAATTTGGAAATGTCCACACTATCATTTAGTAAACCTATCAGGAAACACTCAGGGCCATGGATGCTCTGGCTATGCTGAGCCCTATTTCCAACGTGGGGCAGTCATTTGTAACATGCGAGTGATTTGGGACATGTGTACAGAGGCTCTGCGTCGTAGACATCAAAGTTGTAGCCCAGGGGACCCGGGACCTTAATGACTCACTTCAGGGTGTGGACGAAGGTCCGCCTCCTGGCCCACCTTGGCTGTTCCATAGTGCCACGCACAGACAGGTGACAGGTAACCAGCTATGGCCCAGTGACTATGAAGAGTGAGTCACCTTTTAGGGAGCCACAGCTTCCTAGGCCCTTGGAGGGTCTCAGTACTTATTGCTACAGTAATGGCACCAACACAATCAA